ATATGGCAAATCAATTGATGAAGTTGTGAGACTTCATCAGTTGATATGGCTGGGACATGGGTTACGTATGAACAATCATCGACTACCCTGACAAGCGATGTTACATGATGTAAGAGTAGGATGGAAGAAAACTAGCGACGGCCAGACCAAAACATCGCACAAATCCATGAAGTCACTGACAAGTGAACTGAACCTTGTTGGTAGGTGTAGACTACCTGGTTGGGGACCGCGAGATGATAGCAACCGATGGTTAGAGACCTTGAAATACATGGCTCAAAATCGTTTTCAATGGTGCAGGTGCATCCACTTTGTGTGTTCTCCCAAATTCTAATCTTCTGAATTCTTCATGCCCCTTATTGATTCTTTCAAAATTCATTTCACTAGATTATACTCCTTGAATAACATCTTCAAACACTAATGTTTCCGATTACTGCTTATACTCTTACCACCTCTACCACTATGGGATTTCAATCGACAATTGCATCTGTGTACTAATGTGGTATGACAACTCGAACTGATGTATGTACGTACGAAGTTCAACGTTGTTTCTGACTGACTGATATAAAGTGAAAATTATAAATCTAGAAACATTTTATTCTACGATCAACCAGTTACAACGTACAACGTACGAGGTTGATAGATGAAATTGTCAGAACAAATTCCAAAATAGTAAAGGTAGTAATACTATCAAAGATTTATCAATCAATGAAATAAAAACATTAGAAAAAAATCATGAGGAATTCAAAATCTCAGAATTTTATGGAAAGACAAGAAATAAATGCACCTGAGTAATTACAAACGATTTTGAGCCGTATCATTCAAATTTTAGCGCACTATCACATAAGACATCATCCGTTCAGGTAACTGGTAATTGGATATACGTAACTCATGTCTTAACAACATCAAATCCATCCTTAGAAGGTACCTTATTCTTAACCCAAGCACACTGTTGACTCAGTAATCCCAAAAATACATGAACAATGCTTAAAAAAAAAAAACAACACCTATTATCAAACACTAGTAATCTACAAATATTCTTTATTTTTAATAATCATATTTCATATTAAAATGAACTGTTGAATAGTAAACTCGACTTTGCGTTGTGAAAATTTCATAGTTCATCTACATCAAAAAATGAAACAAGTTTGACTTATGAAACCAACTCCTGTCAAGAGAAATCAACAATAAGGTTAAATAGTTTTAATATCATTTGTTTAGATATTATTAAAGAGATATAGATGATTACTAGAATGGGTTTTGTGGAGAATTGGTAATTTCAATAGTTGAAATCATGAATCAATTGAAGCTAGACCACCATGGAAAACCTGGAAGCACTGGACGGCCGTTTCGTCCTAGTATGGGACTCCTCAGCAGTGTGCATCCACGATAGTAATAATCATCTGCTCACTAGTGACTGACTTCAAGAGATACTCCTGGAGTTCTAGTGAGAAGCCGTGACCAGTGGAGTTCAACCAGGTTTGTTGTGAGATATCAGCTCACCGAAGACAATGGTGTACGGTGGCGCAACTTCGTGGATTGGTTGAAGTTAGACATTAACACCGTTGGATGCCGGCTCAGTGGTCTAGTTGGTTAAGCGCCTGGCGCGAGACTGATAGGTCCTGGGTTCAAATCCCGCGGGGTGCGGGATCGTGGATGCGCACTGCTGAGGAGTCCCATACTAGGACGAAACGGCCGTCCAGTGCTTCCAGGTTTTCCATGGTGGTCCAGCTTCAATTGATTCATGATTTCAACTATTGAGATATAGATGAATAAAATATTATTTCCGAGAATGAGATTTATTTAACTAGCTGACTATGCTTCTATGTACAGAATAGATGAATGAATGAATGAGTAAGTGGATTAGTTCATTCAGTTAGGAAGTTTATTAGTATCAACAATATCATTCGTATTATCATTATCATATGATGATATTTATCTCATTTTACATTGAAAAAAAAAAAACAAACAACATAAAGTACATTTTTAAATAATGAATAAAAACAAAGAAACAAACAAGTAAATAAATAAATTAGATTGAGTGTGTCCTAAGGAGTCATATGATTATTGATAGAAAAACTAAAACTACTATTAATACTACTACTACTACTAACACTACTAAGATTATCGATTTCATGTTAATATTAAAAAAGAGGAATAGAAAAACTAAAACTGTTTCTATGATGATGATGATGATGATGATGATTATCATTGTTTATATGTTAGTCAGTCAACTACAAAGTAGGACCTGGCATATTTATGCAGTGGTCCAAGTTGACATACCGCATTAGCACAGGAAGAAAGAATCAGTTCGTAGAAAGAAAGATATGAACTGATTTTAATCTCATAGTTTAAAGGAAGACAGACAGTGGATACACACACCTATGCCATCGTGATCTGATCGATTCTGAGTCATGTCACCCACAGTCTCCAACAATTGGTTACGACAGTCACACGGACCCCAACCAAGTAGTCTGCATCTACCAACATGGCTCAGACTAGAAGTTAGTGACTTCAAGCACTGATCCCACGTTTTCGTTTAGTCACTCCTAATTTTCTTCCAACCATCCTTAGCACCGGTTACCATTCCGCGTCGTGGTAATCGGTGTTCAGACATACGCAACACGTGATCGGTATATTTTAGTGTTTTGAGTAGTGATCAAGAAAATGAACAAATTGTAATGTATAAATAAAGTTATTTTATAAAGATACTTTTATAATTTGTAAGCAATACATATCATAAACTGATCTCAATTAAATTACTATCGAAAGCTAAGAAGTATTAGACAGACTTTTCATGTCAGAGTTTGAAATTTCTCATCCACAACATCATCGGAGACCGAATCAACGTGTATCATGTTTCACATATTGAAAGTTTCTACAGTTGGAAATATTTAGTGGTACAACTCTGAACTTCATATCGACATAAATCACAAGTGAGTTGACTATTGTAGATCTAAATGAATTGTTGCTTTATTTGTAAACTTTAGAACAGATTTCATGTTTGAAGTGTGAATAATTCATTTATATGCAATAGATTACAGTGTTCTTAAATAAATTAACACAATAACAAAAGTAGTAGACCGGTGTATAGAATGAATATATTGCAAAATATGTACATACACACACACACACACACACCACTAAACGAGAAATGAGTAGTCAAATACTACGATTAATAATAATATTCATGCCCTAATCTTTAGTTTAAACAACTCATTTAAGTATACTTCAAATGCCATTGTATGGCAGAAATGCTCTTACATAGTCACGTGTATAGATCCACTGCCAGGAAAGTCCTACTCACTGCCATCTCCCAACACGGGTGTTGGCTATGAAATTGAGAGGATGAAAAACGAATGTCCGGTGCTTTAACCGGGTTGGTTGATATAAAGGACCCATGTAGGGGAGTTAGAAAACCCCAATTCTAAACCAAATAAAGCACATGTGCTCCATGATCCTGAGGGAGTAAATGGCACATGAATATATTATTGGTCACTGGCTAACATGAGACTGTATCTACTGACGTTGCTCCATTGTCTTGTGGATCAGACCTTTAGGTCAAAGACTCCTAGTGTGGTCCCCTAAGAAAACTAACTGCTTCGATCTGGTCACCCGGGCAGTATCACAGCCCACACAAACTTTTGTGGTGCATATGTATTCGGTGCCCCTTTGTACCAAAATTTATGTTCAAATAAATTAAAAAAACACATCACTGTGCATTGAATTGGTTAGAGAAGTTATTTTTGTATATAAGAACTAAGGATATATATACTGTTCAGCTACAAAAATCACACTAACTGAAAGTAATTCCAAAATCCCATAATAATTCAATTATTGATCTATTCTGTTGGGTAAGTTGGTTTTTTGCAAGAAAGGTAATCACTAGTTTACTACCTTGCCGATTAGTCCAAAGATGGAGATTTACACATATTGGGAAGTGAAGAAATTTATGAAGACAAAAAAGTTACCACTGTAGGACAATAAAGTCTTAGTTTTAAACAAAAAACATTCTGCTTGTGATCATTAGATCACAGGTTTGACCCCACTTTTAGTTTAGATGGTTTGTTTATTATGAACTTAGCTCTTTCTCTCTCTCTCTCTCGCACACACACACATGTGACTAACTTAAAGCCAAGTACATTACTAGACTACACTTGGAAAATGTTATGAAAAATATGTATAAGGTGTTTTTTTGTTATAAATTTTCAATCTTTTCATCATATAAATGAATACTGAAAATTCTAGTTTTTGCAAAGATTGTTGCTGAAAAACCTGTATACTTGTTTAATTTGACCTTCACCATGAAACACGTGGCTTAGTCACACACACACACATATATATTCATGCATCAACAAGGAAATATTCAATGAAACTATGCGCAGATATACTCAAAAAAACCACAATGGTAACGTCAATTACTCATGAGAAAAACGAAAGTAGCCAGACGATGGTTGTAGGTGTGTGTGTGTGCGAGAGAGAGAGAGAGAGCGAAAACGAAATACAGTAGGAATGTGTCTATCAAAGAAAATATGTCTTTAATATATATCGTAAAATAATTGAAAACAATTCAATCAACTGAAATAATTCAATTCAATAAACTAAGTAACAAGTTTGTTTGTTCAGCTCTAAGACGCACAAGCAACTATTTAGATATATGTATAATGGATTCAACACTAATTAAACCAAATAGGAAGAGATATTTAACCATGAACCAATGTGATTAATCATAAATCACTTTAAATGAAAAAAACTTCGATTGTAGGATCATTGAAAACTGAGAGGATTATTAGGTAAGCGTATCTTGTTCAAGCATCTTTAACAGAGAATTTCGTAAACAAACTCTTCGGGGTTCAAACTCAAAAAGTTGAGGCCTTACGAAAAGTAGGTTATCTTTAAGACTATTTTTTTATTAATAAATTCGAAGAAATCAATGAGAGTACTTGTAGTTTACACTCTTCAACATATATAATCATAATAATACAACAATAAAGATAACTTACTTGAACTGGAAGAAGACTCTGTTTTCACTGATGTTTGTAAAGTTTCTGAACAATCTGAAGAAGGAGGCGGTAATGATAATTGTTGTTGTATACTTGATGCAGGTGGTGCAGATGTTGGTGTACGAGCTGAACTAGGTGTAAGTGGTGCACCAGATGTAGAACTACCAGAACTTCCAATTCCACTAATACCATGACCACCAGAAAATGCAGGTGATGCACTTTTTGGACCATTTACACTAAGATGATTCACTGTATTATTATTATGATGATGATGATGATTGTTATTATTATTATTATTATTTAATGATAATTTATCATTTTCAATTAATGATTTATGATTTACACCTAATTGACGTCGTTTTAATTCAGTTAATTCATTTAATTCTTTTGTACGTAAATAATTTGAATCTAATTCACTATTTGGTGTATGTAATTCTAATGCATCTAAACTTTCTTTAACTAATTCAAATAAATCTTGTTTTAAAAAACAATATAAATCATATTCTTTTTCATTACGACTTAATGACATAATAAATGTTAACCATTGATCAGCTGTTGGACCAACAACAACATCCCATTGTGATGAGATACCATTTTGAGGACGTTCACGATAAAGACGTAAATCTGATAAGTGAAAAATTAAAACAAAAAAAAAATAGAAATATATAATTATATTATGGATAAATGTAACAAGACTATCGTTGTATATAAAAACAATACTCTAAATGATTAAAGAAACAAATTTATAAAACAATTTAACTCGTTTTCTTTTCTAATTCAGTAGTCTATTGATGATAAAAACCAACTAAATCGACTTGACATTTGTGTGAGATAGCTGGTGATATATATATATATATATATATATATATATATATACAATGACTGTATACATATGGCCATGTGAAATCATTTCGAATGGGAGAAATGACTTTATTATCAGAAGGGATTGCGTGGAGATTTTAGGAATTTCACTGGTTGAAATCATCAATCCATTGAAGCTAGACCACCATGGAAGCACTGGACGGCCGTTTCGTCCTAGTATGGGACTCCTCAGCAGTGCGCATCCACGATCCCGCTCCTCGCCGTCCAGTGCTTCCAGGTTTTCCATGGTGGTCTAGCTTCAATGGATTCATGATTTCAACCAGAGAAATGACTTTGTACAATAATCAACCTATGAAGAAGTCTAATAACAAATAACACAATAGAAATCAATAGACAACTCAAATTTCATTGATTTACCCTATGGATTTCATTAAAGATAGGAAATGATTTATTGCATAAACTACAATACAATACAAGTTTATATGTATAGAAATTCATTCTTTATTTTCCGATCAATAACACTTATCTCTATGTTTCTTTTAATAGAATCAACCTTTATTAAGAGTTCAAATATTCTTCTCTTTTTTTTTCTTCTTTCTCAACATGTTTATCTCAATTGAATTATAAAATATAAATTCAGACAGTTTGATGTGTATGTATGTACGTGGTGTGATATATAATGGGAACAACAACAAAATGAGTCATACATTAGGGATACTGTACAATACTAAATATTGATACTTTTATAATCTCAACAACTATTATATATATATTAACCAATCATTAATTAGGTAAACCAGACAATTTAACACAACACTCAGTTTTGTTTCTGGCCAATCATTCAGCCAATCAATCAATTTAACAAGGAATTAGTCACTAACATCTATTTACAAATTAAATTTTTTAACCTAAGCAATACACAAATGAGTAAGTGTTGTAGTGGTGACTGTTGTTTTAATATACATGGATACACCAATTATATATATATATATATATATATATCTTTACCTATATTGTAATTATTGTAAATAAAAAGTAACCTATCAACTGATAGATTAAACGAATACAATAAAAACATAGTAATAATATTAGACAAACTAGTAGTGTGTAAGTAGAGAGAGAGAGAGAGAAGAAAGAAAGAAAAACCAACAATATGCATAGATAAACAAACATCGAAAATACAGAGATTTTAAAGCAACCATGGTGATGATGAAGAGAAAACATGTTACTCTACTATAATGAAGTATTCTAACTCATGAACACAACTACTTTCCATAAGAAGTGTAAACATTGAAAAAAAAAAAAAAACTATAAGCTTATTAATATTGGTATGTATTTAGACGTTAGAAAGAATCACAATAGTAGTAGTAGTAGTAATGATAATGATTGTGGGACTTCTCAGAAGTAGGAATTCATGATGCCTCCTCGCTAGATTCAAACCCAGGATGTATCAGTCTCGCGCAGGAAGGCTTAACTTTTAGAACACTGAGCTGGCCGGTATCCAACGGTGTTAATGTCTAACTTCAACTAATCCACGAAACTGAACGACACATTCACCACTATCTTACAATTGACCCGGTTAAACTCTACTGGTCAACGCTTCTCAATAGAACTCCAGGATATACCTCTCGAAGCCAGTCACTAGTGAGCATATGTTAATTAATATCAGAATGGTTTTTTGTGGATATTATAGTAATTTCAATAGTTGAGATCTGATAGGTCCTGGGATCGAATATCGCTGAGAAATCCCACAATAGAACGAAATGGCCATCACAGGTATTCCATGTTGACCTAGCTTTAATTGCCTGATGAACTCAACTATTAAAATTACTATAATATCCACATAAACCCCTTCTGATATTATCAAATCAGATGAATATTTTTTTATGCATTTAATTATGAGCCAGAATGATAGATGAACGTGAAGCCACCATTCATTATTTATTCCTAATTCGAGAATTTGAAGTCGAGTATTTCTTGATGATGATTTATCTCTTTTTTATTCTGCATTTTCTTAAACTACATTTTCAATATTAATAATATTATAGTTTTTTTTGGGAGGGGGCTTATTTGCTAGTCACCTTGATAGTTTCATCACAGTGAAATGATATGCATACTGGGAACTTAAGTTCATGTATATATTATATCATGGATCTACTTTGACTATCACTGACTAACGATGAAACAAAAAACAAAACGCGTACTCCAATCATACAATAAGTTTTAAAGTATGTATGTATCATAAAAGATAACAGTTATTCAATGTAGTATTCGGGATATCGATATATCACATAAGTTCAGACATAGAGACCTCAGAAAATAAGAAGCATACGATAAGAAATAACATCGAACAGAAGTGTAAGCATAAATTTAAGCAATGCAGTTATTAATGATCCTGTGTTCAACATGCAGAGGAAGATATAAGATGAAAGCAACTGCGTCATTGTGACGAAATCCGTACCATGTCACAAAGCAATGTGTTCAATCACTGATTACAAGTATTAGATGGACATCAAACGAGAAGTTCACACACACATTAATGTGACTTATTAGTTATTGATTAGAAGAAACAATAACCAAGATAATACTTAGCTCAGAAATGCCATATAGTCCTCTTCAATTAGTATGTAATGCTAAAGTTAGACACAGACTACTAGTTTAACATAGCAAGTCTCTTGATGTGATTGACAGAGTTGGTCGGGACGTATCGCGTATCCTGAACATTTGTCGAACTACAAAGACGATATGAAGGGCCAATTTGGTGTATATTTATTGAGTTGTAAGTGTATGGGATACTGCAAAATACTATGTCTTATATTTTACAACCACAATTTTTATACAAAACAATTTCAACTTTCAACGAATGATTTTGATTTATATTAAGTATTCATTTTCATAATTAGAAAAGCATATAAGTCAAGGTCATTTAACATGAAATAATAACTATATATCTAGTGGATAAACAATAAGCAAAAACGCTTACCATCCATATAATAGTAACTACATCCTTGAGCATCCTGGCCAGCTTTAATAAGTACATTGACATCTTCTGTTTCAGCAAAAACATTACATCCATCACCCGACCCTAAATCTCCAGAACCAAATAAATCCTGAGTATCGATTCGGTCAAGACCAGTTGATCCGGAACCATTAGCACCACCACGCACACCACCACCAACACTATTTGTAGATATGGAACTATTGAAGCATGTTGTGAAGTTGAAATCCGGCTGTTCATCATAAACTGATTCAATTAAATTATCCAATAATGCAGCTCTAGCTGCCGGTCCCAATTGATGCACCAATTTTCCGTTACGATGACGTTGCATATTAATTCTATATGAAGTACGCTTATCAATTGCGAAACGATCAAGTGCTTGATCAACAGTTGCCATACAAATATCCGGATCGTCATGATTTAAAAATCGAAGTATACGAGCAGCAAGATCACAAAATGCTACAGGATCTGGATCTTTTAAAACTTTTTGATACAGGTCCTATGTATTCATACATCCAATGGAAATAAGAGGTTGATTAATAAAACGAACAGTTAAATTTTACATAAAAATACAACTCATTACACATATATAAAAAATTATACTTAGAATTAGTTAACCATGCAAAGCTACCTCATTCCGGTTCATTTTACATAGTTCAGCATAATGAAGTAGAACAATGTTTTATACAAGATAATGAATTCGACTTTCAACCACCATACATCAGATTATTTATTTTTATTTATTTGAACACATAAATATTGGTACAAGAGGGCACCAAATATATATGCGCCACACAAAATATTATCTGTGTGTGGGCTGTGACACTACCCGGGTGCCTAGACCGAAGTAGGACATCAGATTCACTTTTGGCAGATAATTGAGTTGAACAATGAAGTTTCGTAGAGAACAGGGTTAATTTTCTGCTACTCAATTATCAACTACAGGTTTATACACTTACTTTCGAACTAAACATTTTACGTGAATGCGAGTCATCAGCTGGTCGATCATAATCAAAGCAAGCCCTAGCACAAATATACATCATTCTTATTTATCATAGAGATGAAACTGGTAAGATGAATAGTATTATCAACGATAGTAACGAAAACAAAACATGCAGAGAATATGGTCCGAATAGAAAGAATGTAATGAGAGGATGAATAGTATAAGATAGTATTAAAGCTTTTCATTTACACTGGTGATTCGTGTTGCATAGTTGTTTAAACAGAAGCAGCAGATGAGCTGAGGTTCAAACCCAAAACATATCCGTTGAAAGTCAAATATCCAAATCTGTAAGCTCTACAGTGAAAAAACACCATCATGTTTAAGCTAGTAGCTGGATTTAGATTACTTCAGTATACCAACCATAACAAAATGTTGCAGTCCTTCAAAAGATATGCCCGCAAATGCCCTGGTATGGCTGAGAGTGGGGAGAGTCCGCTCTCCCTCTCCAAAGGCGTATATAGCCTCTGCCAGGGAAGTCCTACTCACTGCCTTCGCACACCACGGGTGTTGTTTACGAAAATGAGAGGACGGTGCACATGGGCTCCAGTATCCTGAGGGAACAAATGGCGCATGAACCAATCATTGGTCACCGGCTACCATGGGACTGCATCTCCTTACGATACTCCACTGCCGTGTGGGTCAGATCTTCAGGCCGAAGGCTCCGGGTGTGGCCCCCTAAGAAAACCACCTGCTTCAGTCTGAGCACCCAAGCAGTATCACAGCCCTCACACATATCCAATGAGATCTGTGTGGCGCATATGTATTTGGTGCCTCCTTGTACCAATATCTATGTGTTAAAATAAATAATAAATAAATATCACAGTTTATGTTGAACACTGATTGTAAATAAAAGAATTTCCCTCTTCAATCATATTCATCATTATGAGATCAACATTACCAATAAATACTACTACTACTACTACTGCTACTATTACTATTCTATTTAAGGATACCTTATACAACTTTATCGAAATCATTCACTTTATCTACGATCCATAGTAATATAACAATAACATCAGTTACAACAACCAATACACTTCTCTTTATTTACATAATAAAAACCAAAAAAAAAAGAAGAAAAAAAAACCGAGTTGTATAATTTCATTTTTATGTTTGTACAGAACACACACAACAAAAAGTACACTTAAAAATTATGCATAACAATCACTTTTTTTTTTATTATAAATTAATAAATACTCAATATAAGACATCTAGTTATTTCGATCCAATCAGAAAAAAAAACAAAAAAAAAAAACAAAAATTAAAAAAAAAATATTGATCAGTAAGTACATTTTATCAATTGCATTTATCTATCATCATATTTAACTAACCAGCTAACTGGAACTAATTATACAATCATTGATTATACTATTTATTATTTAATGAATATCTTACATTCATTAACTAATATGCATAATTGTTTACATTTAACAAAGATTATACTCCATTGGTTATAGTTTCACCCATGAATTATATATCTTCAAGTGAAACATCATTAGTGAGTATATGACTGTTATCAATATAGGGGATTTATGAAGACTGATGTATGTGTACAGGTGAAATTATGAGTTGATCTAAACTAGACTATGATTAAAAACCTATAAGCATTTGGACATCGAGATCGTCAATCAGTCAGTCATCGACAATGTAGGATGAGGCACATTTATACATTGGCCTAGGTTTTCATACCTTATTAGCACAATAACATGAACGTCGAATACACCAATGATAGTAATATATATGAATAAAGATTGTATATATAAGGATATGATACAAGGAAAAACAATTGGTTCGTAGAAGGAAAGGTATAAAGTAATTTTAATCCTATAGTTCAAGAGAAGACAAGGGAATGTATATACCTACACAACTATAATATGATATTTATAATTAATTTAGTTGAGGTTTTCAGCAACAACATTAAAAAAAAAACATTTCATCTAATGTTGATTTTTGAGATTAACTCAAACTGAAAACAGTCATTATCAAGACGTATGATTTGGCATTGTTAACTTTTAACTGTTGTATAGTTACAAGACAAGTCTATTGATTATATGTAGATACCGAAGGTTTTCTTAGGAACAATATATTTGTCAGACAGGAGGGTTTCGAAGATAAATACCGATGTGATAGTGCGACTATATAGGGGTTAACACTATATGCTCTCTATCTTCAATTATTGCCATATCACTAAGAGGTCATGAAAGCTCAACTCATGTTACAGCACTTGAGTGGGACTCTAAGATGATATGGGAATTGAAAATGATTGTACTACGGAAACCACCTACTTTCGTTTGGGTTATCAAATTGCAGCCTAGATCTAACGCAAACTATAAAGATTGAAACCGAGAAAACAAAAATGATGCATTGTTTAATAACCTATCGTATCAAGCTTGTTTCTAGTGTTCTAACCACCATGGAAAACCTGGAAGCACTGGACGGCCATTTCGCCCTAGTATGAGACTCCTCAGCAGTGCGCATCTACGATCCTGCTCCTCGTGAGCGGTCTAGCTTCAATTGACTCATGATTTCAACCACTGAATTTTCTAAAATATCCACACACGTAGATTAGTTTTTTAGTTTAACACATAGATATTGGTACAAGGAGGCACCAAATATATATGCGCCACACAAATCCCATATAATTTGTGTGAGGGTTGTGATACTGCTTGAGTGCCCAAATCGAAGCAGGTGGTTTTCTTAGGGGGCTACACCCTCCTGAAGATCTGGTCCACAAGGCAGCGGAGTATCGTGAGGAGATGCAGTCTCATGGTAGCCGGTGACCAATGATTAGTTCATACACCATTTGTCCCTTCAGGATACTGGAGCTAATGTGCACCATTGGTTTAAGATCCGGTTAAAGTGCCGGACATTCGCTTTTCGTCTTCTCATTTTCGTAAAGAACACCCGTGGTGCGAGAAGGCAAGGAGTAGGATTTCTTTGGCATAGGCTATATACGCGTGGTCATGTGAGAGCATTTCGAGAGGGAGAGCGGACTCTCCCCACTCTCGGCCGTACCATGGCATTTAATGAAAAGCACCTAAACATTATAGATAAATAATATCGAAAATGTTTAAATTATTTAATTGGAATGAGTACAAACCATATAAATGTATTAATTAAAAAGAGAAAAACAAATAAACAATACAATCCAGGTAAAGAGAAAAGGAGCGAGCGAGCAAGCGAGCGTGCGCGCGCGAGAGAGAGAGAGCAAGCATAAAAGCCAGACTTGTTTTCTTCTCTCTTTAGATCTGCTCCTCCTCCCTCGAAATAACAAACAAACAAACAAACTAAAAAGAACTTTTTTTCTGTAGTTGATATATATTTAATTGATCTTTCAATAGTATCAACAACAATAATAAGAAGAGATAAAACATATTGTATTATTTTACAAAATGTAAAAAGCCATCAAGTCAGTAAGTTAATGAGTGAATGAGTGAACGAGAGAGATCGACATAGAATATTGAAATTGTAACCGATTATTTTCACAGTTGAAATTGTAACCAATCTATATATATATATATATATAACTTATTATCTATTAGAATAAATAGAAAGTATCGTCAAGTTGAATATATATTACAAACACAATAACATTTGGCCTAATTAACAATTTTTGCACACACACACATACATACATATATACATATATATATATACAGGGTATATAATAAAATCAATATTCATAATATGAATATTTCTCAGTTACCTCTATATTATTATTTATAATATAATTATATAACTCATAGTAACATGGTATAATTCACTTGATATAATTGGCTTTTAATAGTTAGTTTGATAGATATTAAATTATTCTATGTTGAAAATAGAATAAACTTTCCCGTTCATTTAAAAATAATAACGATGCATTATGCAATTCTATAATATGAAATCAACCAAGTTACTTATTGAATAATTGAGAATAAAAGTTAATACATGAACTAGATCTATTTATATAGAATAAATAATAATAATACCACTACTGCCACTACTGCCACTACTACTACTACTACTACTACTACTACTACTACTACTACTACTACTACTACTACTACTACTACTACTACTACTACTACTACTACATAAACTATATTTATCTCTTATTTGATAACTATGTTGCTTTATCATTTACAATCTTAAACTATCCTTACTTATTATTAGCAGTTTGGTTCTTTCGTCTTTTGTTACCATTAATTCTTTCGCATATAGCATAAGTTTATATAGAATAAACAGAATGTGGAATCCAAGACGTATGTTTCATCCTATATGCGACATCAGCTGAGTCTCCGATATAAATCTAGGAGAGAACATCAACTTTCGAACCTAGATCCATCCAGCTAACGAGTTCAAAATGAACGCGGTGAATGGTCATATTCTGTTGATACTGTACGAACGAATTCATTATTCCAAGTACATTGTAATTTTGATTTAGAAACATAATATGTTACATAAAAGAATAGAATGAATACTTTTTACCTTATTCAACTCATTCTTTTTAT